TCCACTAGTATATTGATTTGACCATACAATTTTAATATGAATCAATTTCTTTCCGCTGGTTCCAAATGGAACCGCTCGGCATTAATGGGTTAAAGACTGCCACTCAATATTTTTAAATATATGAAAAAATCGAAAAAATAAAAAAAATCATGATTTTTTTTATAAAAAAATCAAGTGATTTAATCACATGATTTAATCATTTTGATTTAATCGTTGCCAACCCTGCTCCCATGAGCGTGTGATGTTGAGGTAATTTGGAACAAATTCGTGTAAGTGATAACAGTTATTTGGCTATTGATATACTGGACTTTATATTAGCTTGTACTAATACACCCAAAACTATACAAGTCGTAAACTTGACTCTAAACTGGTATTTATTGCAGCATCAACTGTAAAATCATTGCTGCACACCTCACCGTCAAATTAGCAAACTTTAGAGCCATTCTATTCACCTTAGTTCAGGGCAGGCAGCTCACCTGAGAGGTCACCCAGTTCAGGGCAGGCAGCTCACCTGAGAGGTCACCCAGTTCAGGGCAGGCAGCTCACCTGAACACCTGAGAGGTCACCCAGTTCAGGGCATGCAGCTCACCTGAGAGGTCACCCAGTTCAGGGCAGGCAGCTCACCTGAGAGGTCACCCAGTTCAGGAGTGAGCTCCTTGATGTTGTTGTGGGAGGCGCACAAGTTAGTGAGGTGGGTGAGGTAGCAGATGCTGTCCGGCAGCGCTGTCAGTTTGTTGTGGGAAACGTCCTGAAAATCAACAGATAATCACACTGTAAAATAAATCAGTCGATATCAACATTAATATAGCATTAATTTTCCTTGGTGTTTCATTCTTTTGCAATAAAAATAATTTTAATGAAATTTTTTGTAACCAATCAATACATTATAAATACAAACTTAGCGATGAGTAAAAGAAAATGTATTGGGTTTTTATGCAAGATTCTTCACTGCTACAATAATAGGAAAAAATTAAAAGTGCTGGAAAGGTTAACTTCTTACTAGAAGAAACAAACTGTAGTATATACGTATAACAGAGATCTTTTGCACTGCAGTATATATAGCAGTTGTTTTGCACTTTATTATATAGTATATATAGCACAGAAGTCTTGCATTCACCAGCTGGTCCAGGAGTGTGAGCTCCATGAGGTCAGGTAAGCATGTGAGTTCATTGTGGTCCATTTTGAGGACTCGAAGTTCCGGGAGATGGAGTATCTTGTGAGGCAGCTGTGTGAGTTTGTTGTGGCTCACAGTGAGGCGGTGGAGGGCCTTCAGCTCCGTTATCTCCTGGGGCAGTGTTGACAGCTGGTTGTCTGACAGCTGCAACATGTCAACAGAAAAACAATTCATTTCAGATGAATGCTGAATTTTGATTCTCTTAATTACGGCTATGAAATAGATTATGAGTGTCTAGATTATTATAGATAGTTTTTTATTTATAAATATCTTTACACTTATTGATATTTATGTGTCTAATAACTCGAGATATAGACATATTATATTATAAGTGAATATAGACTACGTATTATGATTGCCCAGAATCGGAACTCGTGGTCATAACAAGAGTGTCACCGTAGTGTGACACTCTTGATGTGAGACAAGCCTCACTGTCTCACATCAAGAATGGTGAGGCAGGGCAGGAGGCGGATGTCAGGAGGCAGGACAGTGAGAGAGTTACTGTTGAGGTAGAGCTTGGACAGGTCAACGCTCTCCCACCAGCGGTCGTCGCTGCTGTTGTCAAGGCTCATGTTGAGCGTCAGCTGCTTGGCTTCTGTAGAGTCCACTTCTTGCAGCCGGAACACTTTGGCAGGAACTGCGTGGTCATGAAAGCTTGTAAAAAATATACGGTAACTCAGTACTCACTGCAGTGAGTGACAGAGAGCGCATTTTCTCGTCGACGAAAAATTGAGGTCACGGACGGACGGACAGACAGACAGACGGACAGACAGACAGACGGACATGGCGAGACATGGCTCATTCAAGATGCTCATTTTTTCCATAAATGAGAAAATGCGCTAAAAATGAGGCTTAGCTTGCTTATTCATCAGTTGACTTTGAGAAGATGACAAAATAGATTAAGGGGATTGATGGGCTACTGCACTGCATGAGAAAATAGGCAAACATATAGAAGATTAGACATGCATATCAAAATGATCAGATTTGTGCTTGACAGAAAAAAATAGTATGACGAGTTCTACGTCAGATGGCAATTGATGATGTGAATGAATGAAATAAATTGACAATAAATAATAAACTGTAAGTCACCATGGCAAATAAAATACTCAATGCAGTAGTTACACTTGTAAATAACAAGCACGTATATATTCAACCTACCAAATGTATATCAAAAAACCATAAAACCTCTCGGCATTGAATGCATGACAAATATTCAAGAAAATTACTCGCTACATTACTACAGGATAAACCAGTAATTTCTAGCTAAGTTGACTTATCAGTAATCAAAACAACGAACTGCAAATAAGCTTGTAACTCCTTGAGGTCAGGAACTTTACAGCATAAGCAGAAATTTTTCAAGCATCATTAAGTGGCATAATTTTTATCTTCATCTATAATGCACCTGCTGGAAATTTCAAGGAATTTCTTAAAATTATTATTTGTTATTTGGTCTTTAATTAGAACTAAAACTTAAGTTTTGTTTTATACACTATACAGGTCAAGCAATGTTATCATTGTAAATATAAACCATATGATGGAATGTGAATTATAATGAATGATCTTCTTGGATCTGACCCACAAAATCTTTTCTCTCTTATAATACTTATTGTCAGAGCAAAGCAAAAGCCTCATTTACCAATCCAAATATCTCTAACTTTTCCAGTGAACCTTTCCTTAAGTCTCACTAGCCAGTTTTTCTTTAGTTTGAGACTCGCATCACTCAATTATACACCAACTTCTGTCTTTGTCTTCGCACTCTACTACCTGCTTTGATTGATTCTGATTATAGCAATGCAGGGGTTTTTACTTAACTTAAAACTTTCACTACCTGAAATAAGATGCCACATACCACCCAGTTGATCCCAGCAGCCCATTCTCAAAGTCAAATAATTACTCAATGTACTTATTTTTGGTGCATTGAGCAAGTTAAAATGCAACTTGTGGCACAAATTAGCAATTATTTTATTAGCAGTGTGTGGAGATATACTTGACGACTGTGAAGAACCTATGAGTGGTGAGGGATCACACGATAGTTAGATGACAGCTCTCAGGAGTTGTGCTGGAGATTCAAGTTTGTAAACTTTCATCTACTTCATTTCTTGAGTTGGCTCTGGTTTTGCTAATTTTACCTTAACACATACAATATTATGTTCATTTAATCAGTTTGCATAAGTGACCATGGCACTGAAAAAAAAATTTCAAAGATTACATACCTTCATCCAGAGCTCGATTGGAGAGGTTTAGCATGCCACTTCTACGGGCACTTTTAATCTCCTGAGGATGAAGCTCATTCTTGCTGCAGGATTTTTTATCAGCAAAGATGGCTCCAGCATCAGCAAATCCCCTAACAATGGGCCTATTGTTGCGCACAGTGACAACACCGTCTGTAGATTACATGCACAACATTATATTTTTTATATACAATCAGACTTGATTATTGCTATATATTTAATTAATAGATCTTCAATTTTCCTACCTTGTCTTAATAGCCATACCTTGCAAACATGTCTTTACATCTTTGTCTTCATGAATATATTTGAGTTTTTGCTTATTTGCAAAATGTACAGATTAACAACATAATAAAATGTTATGAGGAGAATAGCCCCAGTCTGATGAGATAGAGGCTACTTTTGATACAATATCACTGTGGACTAGTAAGAATATTACAGTCAATTATGAAATTAATTTGAGAGCTTCACAAATGTCACTATTGGCTCAGATTTTGTACTTGAGAACTGCTTCTCTCAGGGAATAATAATAATATATATAATAATGATATTCTTCATAATAAGAAGCCATTGAATGTCAAGTAAATATGACACCACGACTCATCAAATTTATATACCAAATAAATAGAATTTTATTATACCAGCTCAACTATTGTGTATAATATTCTTACAATGTCTAGAGTTAATATAAATTTAAACCTTACATACATATTTACAATTGGAATGTAGTTCAAATTACATAAAAGTATAAACAAAATATAAGCTTTACACAGGATAATGGAAATAATTTAATGCCTCTACATTGTACCATTAACAATTGACATGTAATAAATACAGTATTTACGATTATTTATAATTACACAATAGACAAATAATAAATCGTAATTGTGCATGCAAGGACAAAATAAAGGAAAAGTCTTCAAAACTGCAATTAAACCAATAATCTGTTACCTGTATTATCACCGCCATTAGCACCTGCAGGAGGTTTCTTGGGCCGAACAAAACGAGAGACAGCTTGACCTCTGCCCCGACTTGCTCCACGCCTGCAATCAAGTCATGTCTAATTATCCATGCAGCAAGACAGAATAATACCTACAAACAAATAATGTTTAAACTCATTTTAAGGTTAGAATCATTTGAAATATTGTAAGAATATGTGAAGCCTTTTATGTCTTCTCATGATTGATACCAATTATAAATATCTTTGGCAAATCTCTGAGGCTGAGGTTTGATTATTATTCCCCATAATTTCCTAGTACTTGTCCAGCAACTGAAATGATAGTCATGATAATCCCATTAATGAATGCATTCACACCATTCTATTAAAAACCAAGTATTTGGAATCACTGAAGTAATTTATTAAAATAATAAAATATTACTTATGGATTTGAATTATGTATGGTAATTGATTAATTTCAGTTGTCTGTCAGAATACTTCACTAGTTCTGAATTCAAAATAATATCTTTATATTTTTAGCACATTTTCTCATTTATGAAAAAAATGCACTATTGTGCTCATCATGTCCATCTGTCTGTCTGTCTGTCTGTCCGTCTGTTTGTCTGTCCGTTACTTCACGTTTTCGTTGACAAGAAAACGCGCTCTCTGTCACTCACTGCAGTGAGTACTGAGTTATATTTTTTTGTTATTGCATTCAACAGTACAATGGGGGCATGGGGGCAAGTGACCACATATGGTGCATAACTGAGAACCGTCACCAAAAAAATGCTCATGCATGCCCTCTAAGAAGCATTTAAGGCTGCATTATTGTGCTGTCATGATTGCATGATGATGATGTGCCAGACTACTTGTTATTTGTTTTTTCTGCCAAGAATATGACTCCTAATCTCATGTTTTAGCATTGAATGGACATTTACAAGTAAGTAGAAGCCAAAACACCAAAATTTACATCAAACCTGTTTTCTAACCCCCTGCAAAAAAAAATGTCTAAAGGATATAAGACAACATGATAATATTGAATAATGAATATAGTACTAAGTGATGCAGATCAAAAATTCCAATTAATATTTTCATGCTTAATTTTATGTGATATCAAGTATTCAAACCATAGTTAAGTTGAGTTAATGATTGAGGTGAATTCATCAAATTAGCTTGTGGCATCAACTGAGGCACACATGAAAATGTAGTTTTCATTAAGAGGCTCGTTTAATTACTAACCTTGCATTGGTGCAGCCTGCAGCTGAAGCATTTCCTACATCACCCATGCTAAGAACCAGTTCTTTCTGCCACAAAAAATATCTTGGGCAAGACAAACTTAGTAGTACTTACTATAAGCTGGAAGAAAGTTGCACAACTTTTCTTTAAAAAGAAGGAGGGAAAGAGAAGTTTGAGAATATACTTACTAAGTTACCATGAGTAACAATTACAAAGTTGCTAATACTATCGCAATTTGACAGATTTTGTAGTTAAGGTTATTTGGACAAGGTAAGGCACTGGTTTTTATAGCACAAAGTGGCACCCTCTGGGAATCCCAGCCTAGCAAATGTTTCTTTTTAGTTGGGGTTGAGGCTTGCGGTAACAAATGCGCCCAGCCAGCAGCCGCCCACCAGCAGCCCAGCCTGACTGCCAGATCTCTGTCAGAAGAAGAAAGCAGCAGACTTGGTGCTCTGCTAGACTTTGCAGTTGCCTCCCAACACACTCCAGACCAATGCAATCTGTCTGTTTGAAAGTCTCACTGTGACTACACACTTGCTGTAGGTTCCACAGCCAAAGGCTGCTTGTACCCAGCATGGTGGAATTCTAGGAATTTGTTGGTCATTGAGATCCACCAGTATCCCTGTTGTGCGCTCCTATTCCGCTCACACGCTGCCACTGCTAGTGGGACAAGCGTGCTGCTTTTGCTAGCAGGACGAGCATTGCATGCCACTGCTGCCGCCGGCCTGCTTGTTTTGGAGCGTGCAGCCCTCCCGCTACTATTGGAGTGAGCGCACTACTTATTTTGGCCACGGCGCTCCTCAATTACATGGACTGCCCAGAGATGATCCTGTTCGCCAAGCTGTCCAAGCAAATAGCCTCATAGGTCACAGCCCACACACATAGCCACATAGCCCTTAGTTGGAGCACTGAAGGCACTGCTCACAATGCTCTGGAAAGCCTTAATAACGGAGGGAATTATCCTTGAGGGTCTCAAAGTGGGACTGATAATGTCAATCCACAGAGGAAGTTTGAGGGACAGACCCCAAAATTACAGACCTGTAACCTTGGTCTCGCATGTGATCAAAGTTTTTGAGAAGGTAGTGGTCAGGAGGCTTGTCCAGTATATGGAAGAGGCTGACCTGTATAATAACAGACAACATGGTTTCTGGCGTAACAGTTCCTGTTTGTTGCCATTACTGGAGCACCGTCACCATCTTGTGGCCCAGCTGGAGGAGGGAGCTGGCATGGACATGGTATTCGTAGACTTTGCTAAAGTTTTTGACAAAGTTGACCATGGGGTGCTCTTTAGAAAGCTGAGGCTGTTGGGGATAGAGGGAAGCCTGTTAAGGTGGATCTACAACTTCCTTACAGATAGAGTACAAGCTGTTGTAATTGGAAACTTGAAGTCGAGTGAAGCAAGGGTGAAAAGCAGAGTTCCGCAGGAATCAGTGCTTGGACCAATCCTCTTCCTCATCCACATTGCCAACATTGACTTGGAACTCACCCATGCATCTACATTGTCATTTGCGGATGCTACAAGAGTGCTGATGAAGATCACAAATGGCCTAGACTGCAAGAGGTTACAGGATGATCTATCGTCAATCTACAATTTGGCCCTAGTGAACAATATGCAGTTCAACAGCACCAAGTTTGAAGTAATGAGATACAGAGTCTGCACAGAGATAGGGATGCCACAGCGCTACTTAGCATCAGATGGCACAGAAATTGAGGAGAAGCAACTAAAGATCTCGGAGTGTTGATGAGTACTGAAGCCACGTTTGATGCCCATATCGAGGAAATAGTTGTGCGCAGCTGGCAAATGATGGGGTGGATATGGCGGACATTTTGAACGAGAAAAGCAGCACCAATGATTACACTCTTCAGAGCCCTCGTGCTCCCCAATCTTGAGTATTGCTGCCAGCTTTGGTTGCCACTCAAGGCAGGTGTGGTGCAGAAACTGGAGGCAGTGAAGCAGACCTTCACGTACAGGATCAGCGGCATGAGGGAGCTGAACCTGAACTACTGGGGAAGGCTGAAACACCTGGAACTGTACTCACTGGAGAGAAGAAGGGAAAAGTATATCATACTGTACACTTGGAAAATGATAAACGGACTGTCTCCCAACTTTGAGAGTGAGACCTCCAAAATAATGACATATTACAACAAAAGGAGGAGACTGTGCAGGATTCCCCCATTTAATAACCAAGCTACGGCCAGAGTACAGACTCTTCGTGAGGGATCACTGTCCGTGGTAGGACCGAGGCTCTAATGCCTTGCCAAAAGCGCTGAGAGGAGGGGAGTTCACCCTTGCAACATTCAAGAGACGACTGGACAAGTGGTTGAGAAAGATCCCAGATTGTCCAGTAATGGGAAACCACCCTCAGCAAGTGACAAGCAACAGCATCTTGCATCAGCTGGCCCAAAGGAGGGTAAATAGACTAAACACGTCCAACGTTACATCAGATGACAACTCAGAGATGGAGGATGACAAAGGCGGCGCATCAGCATGACCGGGGACTAGGAAGTCCCGAACTCATCATAAGGTCATAAGGTGTGGTATGTGAGTGTGTGTGACTTGGTCCACAAGCCACTCAGCAGTGATCTCCATCCCTCCACCAGTGGTCAAGTTCTGCCTTGCCAACTATCACTCCTTGGCTTGTACCTGAAGCCTGGGATGATTACTACTGGATTACTACTACTACTACAGTACTACTAGGGATGGTTACTACTTGATTTATGGTTGTTAAAACCATAGTTGGCCATGGCTAATGTTGAGTAAGATGTTATTATCTGGCAGCAGAAGCTGTTAATTACTATTTTTTCGTGTCACTTTTCTATTATTGTGTAGCTACCCGAAACTAAAACGCTGAGAGGCCACAGTGGTCCACTCATTAGAGCACTCTACCCAGACCACCAAGTGGGCTGAACTGACACCACTGCTAGTGTTTCAGTTAGACTAGGTATCGTTCAGATTCAGTTATTGTTATATCTACCATTTGTATTTTGTGTTTTGTTAGTAGTAAATTGTTTAGTGTTTTCCATGTTTTGTGCCTTCCTGAATGCGACTCCTTCTGACCACATTTAGTATTTGTTTCAACTTCCATGACCGAAGACTCAAGAGATACAGTCTCGAATATTTGTGCAGGTTTACTGGGAACCGCTACACCGTCTTCTGGGGAAGTTTGGCATATGAGCAATCAGAGTCAACATGTTAAATATTGAGTGAATGAGGATAATAAAAATGAACTGATTCTAAAAAAATCTCTGGTTTGCCACTATGATCTGTTCCCCGCCCCCCAAGCCCCAGGCTGTAGAGTAGGGCCTTTCAGCTCGAGATATCGCCGTCTTTTCAAGCTCTCTATCAGCCACATCGACCTTTAATCGGCATCCATGGCCAATCATAAACTATGGCTCAGGCAGCCATGACCGATCATAAACTATAGATTGCTCGATCAGCCCAGCTGTCACCTGTCACCGCGCCCATCTTCAGCTTGTTTGATTGCTTGTATCTGTCACCCAATCACAATGTGCATATGTCTGGCAAGCCCAATGCTACTGCTGAAAAAACTTGTCAATCTATTGTGTTCTAACATGATCTATTGTGTTCTAATGCGATCTATTGTGTTCTAATGTGATCTATTGTGTTCTAACGTGATTTATTGCGTTCTACCGCGATCTATAGCGTTCTAACGTGATCTATTGTGTTCCAACGCGATCTATTGTGTTCTAACGTGATCTATTGCGTTCTATAGCGTTCTAACACAATCTATTGCGTTCTAACGCAATGTATAGTGTTCTAACACGATCTATTGTGTTCTAACGGGTTATATTGTATTTGAATGTGATCTATTGCGTGCTAACGCGATCTATTGCATTCTAACGCAATATATTGCATTCTAAAGCAATATATTGCATTCTTACTTGATCTATTGCATTTTAACGCGATCTATTACATTCTAACAAGATCTATTGCATTTTAGCGCTTTATATTGCATTTAAATGCAATCTATTGCATTTAAACACAATCTATAGCATTCTAATGCAATCTATTGCGTTCTAACATGATCTATTGCGTTCTAACACAATCTATTGCATTCTAATGCAATCTATTGCGTTCTAACACAATCTATAGCGTTCTAACGCGATCTATAGCGTTCTTGCGCGATCTATTGCACTCTAAAGCAATTTAATAAAACCCAAGGCAATCTAATGTAACCCAAGGCAATGTAATGTAGCCTAAAGCAATCTAATGTAACCTAATGCATTCTAATTCAATCAAATATAAACTAATTCAATCTAATGCATTCAAATTCAAAGTGACACTTTCTACTGCAATCTAAAGCATTCTAATGCAATATTAAGTAACCTAATTCAATGTAATGCAACCTATTGAAATCTAATATACCCTAATTAAATTTAATGCATTCTAGTGCATTGCAATGAAATCTAGCGCAATCAAATAAAATCTCAATGCATTCTTACACATTCTGATTCAGTCTATTTAATTTTACTGAATTGGTTGGCTTGAATTGGGCTGGAATGATTTGATTAGGGTTGAATTTGGTTGGGATGAATTGAGTTGGTGTGGTTGAATTGGGTTGAATCAAGTTGGAACAAGTTAAATTGGTTTTGGTTGAATATGGTTTAATTGGGTTGAGTTTAATTTAATTTTCATTGAATTGAGTTAGGTGGGGTTGAATTTGGTTGGATTGAATTGGGTTGGGTTGAATTGGTTTTGGTTGAATTGGATTGGGTTGAATTGGGTTGGGTTGAATTGGTTTTGGTTAGATTGGGTTGGGTTTGGTTAGATTGGGTTGGGTTAAATATGGTTAGGATGAATTGGGTTGGGTTGCATTGGGAAGGATTTGGTTGATTTTAATTGGGATCAATTGGGTTGGGTTGAATTGGGTCGAATTTGGTTAGATTGGGTTAAATTTGGTTAGGATGAATTGGGTCGGATTGCATTGGGATGGATTGGGTTGATTTGAATTGGGATCAATTGGGTTGGGTTGAATTGGTTTGGGTTGTAATGGCTTGAGTTGAATTGGTTAGGCTTGGGTTGTAATGGTTTGTGTAGAATTGGTTAGGATTGCATTGTGTTGAGTTTGGCTGAATTGGATAGGGTTGCACTGGGTTGGGTTGGGTTTGGTTGCATTAGGTTGGGTTCAGTTAGATTGGCTTGGGTTCAGTTAGATAAAGGTTGTTTGAATTTGGTTGGAATGAATTGGGTGAGGTTGAATTGGGTTGGCTTGGTTCAGGTGACAAGACTAATGATGTAGTGTTTATTTAAAATGATTTATCACAAGCTGCTTTGTTATCCATTGTCAGTGCCGCGAGGCTCTCTCAATGCAAGCACTCAAATATA